GCCATTATTCTAATTATTTTCTTTTGCATGTAAAAAACTTTATTACTGTCTGTTGAATTTCCCCAAAAGATTAATCCATATGACAATACAGAGTGAAAGTATGCAAAGTAAACTAGCTTTAAAGTATCTATTGTCATGAGTGGTACGACTGTTCTCATGGCAAAGCATGCAGAGCTTAATTTGGGAATAATATACTCAATGTGTTTCTTCCAATTTAAGATACTGTTGACTTGTAAGCCAAGGAATTTGTTTGTTTCAACTTCCACAATTAATTTTTCTTCAAAACCTATATTTAATCTAGGATATGTCTTGTGCTTAGTAACAAATTTTATGAAGTACAATGTTACAATGGATGAACCAATAACAAACCAGCGCAATATGACAGGAGAATGCATCACAACAAAGAAAACACCTGGAAAAATACCTAAGGCAAATCCAGGTAAAGTGTGTGTGTGTATATATATATATATATATATATGTGTGTGTGTGTGTGTGTGTTCATAACTTGTAATATATGTGTTTAATTAGGATCAGAAACTTATTTACTTCCTTGTCCAAATCTGCTTTTTCCTTAGTAATCTTTTCTTCGTTCTCTGCATTACCGAGAGAGAGGTACGTAGTGTCCAAAGGGTTAATAGTTGTATGACAAATATTATGGTCATGCAGTTGATTGGTGTGTGTTATTTACAAAGTAGCAAGCCAGTTTATTGGCTGTGGGTTTTTGTGTGGGGCTGATAAAAGGTGATTCCTGTATGATTCATAATAGATGACAAATTAAAATAAATATTAAATGTGTCAGTCAAATTTATGCATCATGTATTTTATTTGGGAGTCTATAGTTTATGTGTACATTATTGTTAAATAGTATTTTAACAGGTGCTTCTTCATCAAAGACGTCTCCGATCGGTGGAGACCAATTTATTCCGGTCAGAAGCACAACCAATTATGAAGTTGCACATATAAAGGAAATGAATTTACTGGTGTTTATGAACCTTGCAGGTTGTAATGGTTGTGGACCTTGAGAGATTACATCATGATATGGGAAATGTTTGAGAACTGTGTTTTTGTGTCTGTGTTGAGTCATTAAACAAGTGTGCAGTTATTTCTGTAGTATATAGGCACTGTTTAAAATGTTATCTTGTAGGTGATTACAAGCAATTATGAGGAATGTGTAATGATACATTGCTTTGAGAAGTTGGTAACTACCTACAAAAGTTACTTTTATTATTCATGTCTGTGTGTGTCAGAATAACAAAGAAAAATTGGATTTGAGCTTGGGGAGAGGGGGGGGGGTCCTAATTTGCCTGTGGAGAGTTAACTGTTATTTTATATTTATAATGTAATTTTAACTAAATTGAATTTATATGAAGTTGATGTGATTTCTTGTCAGGTGACCCAGGAACAACAACCAGATGATGAATTAATAAGCCCGTTAAAGAAAGATTATCAGTGCTTTATGTTAGAGTACCTGTATGGAGGAGTTGTGAGAAATATGAGGCTTCTGTCATACAAGAACAAAGCACCAGGATAGTGGTAGTAACAGTAGTACAAAAATTTCAAATGTTTAGTGCCTTATGCATTCCTTTATCTGCTGTCCCATTCAAAAGAACTTTTATGTTCTGCTTTCATTTCATGACATTTTAATAAATATTTTTGAGTTCTCATTGTTTATAATTTTAGAATACCCGAAATGATTAATTGAATTGTTTTGCTTTTAAAGTTGTGGGATTGCAGCAAGATGAAGCGAGTACGTGTCATGGGCGGTTACTTGGCTCGTGTTAGCTCTCTGTCATGGAATTCGTACATTCTGAGCAGTGGTTCTCGTAGTGGTCAGATCATTCATCATGATGTTCGACAGAGAGATCACAGTGTGGCTGAGTTGTCTTCTCATACACAAGAGGTGAGAAACTGTGCATAGCGAACTCCTGGAGGATGGAGCCAATAGTTTGTGTTAACTATGCAGAATCCATTGGCATGTTTACAGACAGATTCATTCCCACGACACTAAATGAAGGTCTACTACCCACCATTTAATCACCTCTGCTGACAAACTACTAACATTATGTAGGCCAGTTTTAACAGTACCCTGGTCTGCTATCCCTCCCCACCACACCATCTGTTTCATCTCCCTACCAAAGGTCATGCCATAACTTATGCAGTTAACTGTGGGGACCTGAGTTTGTGTTCAGGGTAGTGATATATTCATGGCAGAATTCACACCAACATACAGGAAAAGATTGGGAAGGAACACTGATGCTACAAATCTTTACACACCTTCCACAATTCAAAAGTTCATTGTTACAGTAACACTTGATATATACACAAGATGAAGATACTTTATTCACTTGGAGTTGCTGCAGGAAACCTTGCACTATACTTCATCTCAAGAAATTAATAACCTTCGTATGATAAGTCTCAAGAGACTTGCAGAGACAGGCCCCTACATATCTAATCATGGTGGTCTTCTGGGCTGACAGTGTGAACTTGTAGGCAGTTACCAGTGTTTCAGAGAAACATACTTTCTCCAACCCAAAGGCTGAAGTGAGAAGTGTTGGGAAGTGGTTGATTTATATAGGTTTAGGAAAAGAACGAGGCCATGGTGACTGTCCAGTGAGAGACCAGGAATGAAGAAGGGATCTGGAAATGGTCCAGGTGTATAGAAGAGAGCCCTAAAAGGGCCACTTATAATCTCTCCTCTTACCCAACTTCTCTCTAGCTCCTTGTTTCCTATCAGCCCAGACTGTCCATCTTCCTTCCTCATTCCTTGCAGTTAAAGTGAAGCTGCAAAGCAGTAGTGGTAAAGCATTCCCTGATTTCAGACCACTATAAATAGGCATTGTTGCAGATAGGTGTTACTAAAATGCTATGTCATATTGACATGTGCATTTTCCCCCCTCCCATCCCTCTTTACCCTCTGGTTTTAGATTAAAATATTTACATGCATGCAGTCTCTTGAGAAAACTCCCACGGTCATAACATCATTTATATTAGATGTGTTATAGTATTTACTTATGGATAACTTCACTGTTTTCAGGTTTGTGGACTAAAGTGGTCTCCAGATGGCAGATACCTAGGTAGTGGTGGAAATGACCATATGCTGTACATTTGGCCAGTTGCTGCGGGGCGAGCTTACTCACAACCCCGATCTTTATACTCTCTCAGGTAAGTGGATACTTGATGTAGTTTCCTATATGTGAGATGAGTGAATGTTGTACCAATCAAATTGATTCCATGAATTAAATAAAATGTGATTGTAGCCTCTGCACACACACACACATACACACATACATAAATTGGATCTTCAGTCTGTTGTAGTATTGCCAACTTGACTTTATTTTACTCAAATATTCTTGGACTGTCAGTCATATCTGTTGGTTAAAAATCACCAGTGTTTCAGGGACCATCTCCATGATCATTGCTATGATATACCTGACTAGACACAAAAATGATTTTCACAAGGGAATGACAAGACACGTTTTGAGTTTAATAGAATTGCACTGCAAAAATTTTGATATTCCATTCCAATATAGAGATGCTTATTTTCCTGCTGTGTTTTAATTTCCAGTGTTTCTTTGTAGTGTACATCAAGCAGTTGTGAAGGCACTGGCATGGTGCCCATGGCAGCCTAGCACATTGGCAAGCGGTGGTGGAACAGGTGACAGATGCATTCGCTTTTGGAACTGCAATACTGGTCGTTTCAACACCATCAACACTAAGTCTCAGGTAAGACCTGGATATTTATTGTATTTATAACCCCTTGACTGCCATGACTATAGAGAATTCATAACTGCTTAGGCTGATGTACTGTTAAATGTAGGAAGTTAAATTTGGTAGTTGCAGTAGCACATCTATAGTTATTAGTTGAACAATTATTATTTTATTTAAAAATCTAGGCAGCCATGTTAGTGTTGTGACAGAAACCAGCATTTCAGAGACACTGATAATGGAGACAGCTAGTCTCTGAAACATTGATTTTTCACTCCACATTGACATGTTTGGTCATTTGAGAAGATTTTATAACACATAAGTAATGGGACTTGTGTTTGTCAATTTACACACATCTCAAATGTGTGTGGACTGTTGCCTAACTACTGCATGGTTATCTTGTTGAAACTTATAATAAAATAGCCATTATGCTTTATTTACCTTCATATTCAACTACTGTCTTCTGTTTGTTGGACATTATTACCACTAAGGGAAGGTTTATGAATGAAAAGTCTCCATATATGTGTTAAACATTTTTTCATCCTCTTGGTTCATAATTGTCTTGAATTTTTAAATCTGTCAGTCAATTGTCATCTTGGACTGGGTTATTTAGTGGAAGGGTACTACATTTATTTTGTTACTTCCTTGAATATTTACACTGTAAGAAATTTATTGTAGGTTTGTGGTCTTCAGTGGTCAACTACATACAGGTCATGGCTATACAAATAATCAACTAATTATCTGGAAATATCTATCAATGACAACGGTAAATGATCATAATTTTAGTGAGATGAAATGTTAATGGAGAAGTGATTGAAAATGAATTGGTTATTTCTGTACAGTTTATATTGGGAGATGTCTACGAAACTTCACTCAGGATATCTCATGTATTTTAAAATTATACATATATCATTGGTTAGTTGGAAGATTTATTTCACACTTATTTTTGAGCATCCTGTGGCTGACATTTAATTCTTGTAGAACAGGCTCGTAAAACCAGCCACTTTTTTCCAGTATTGTCTTTCTGTCTGACTTAGTGTTTAGCACCACAGACATGATGTTTTTGATGCCCAGTCAGGCACCCATTAACAAAGATTTTGTAACCGAAAGTCTTCTTCCCCCACTCTCTATTTGCTTCATCATAAATCATGAGTCAGTATATTTATGCTGCAGTACATGGCACCAACAACCCATCCCATGAGAACCTGAAATCTCAGAAAATGTTTTTCCAATACTGCCATGGCAAACTTTGTAATTTATGGTTATTTTGATATTGTTCCCATCACTTTTACTCTGCAGTGCTTGAGGGAATGAAAGAAGAAAATGGGGTGGTTTTCCTGGCCTCTCAATTTGGTCTCCATTTTGTTTTAGGGTGGAAAGATACTTCTTCCTCCCAAGATATTCCGCTCTAAAGTCTGATTGCCATGTCCAACCATCTGTGTCTGCCTTCCCACAACTCCTATGTTTCTTGCTCTTAACCTTCCTTCTCTCTCCGATGTGTTTCTTAACCTGTTATTCCCATCTTTATCACAGCCTCCATTGTGAACATTTTCCTTTCAATTTCATGTTCAAAGCCTTCTTTGAGATTTCTCTATTATTCATTCTTAATAAACCATTGCCCATACCATCTCATTCTGTTCTTTGTTAGTTTCTCTTCCATGGCAATTAACTTATTTTCTCTCTCATATTTAAATGTTTTATCCTATCTCTTTTAGTTTTTCAGTATATGCTTCTTAAAAATCGCATTTCTGCTGCCATTAATCTAGTAGTTCAGGATTTTAATATGTATTTAACATAAGAATTATGATCCTTAAATGCCTATTAATTTGGATTGAAACTCTTTTATTTTCATTATTGCATGGGATGAATATTTTAAATTTGTACAGGGACCACAGACTTCTGAGGTCCCTGTACAAATTTTTAAAGTATTTCCATAAAATATTTTTCATCTTAATGTCAGACTGGATCTTGTCATCCAAACACCATACTAATGCAATATGAATACCAGTACCACCTTCTGCAGCCAGAGTCAGTGTGTATTTTTACTGCAAGAGTTTATTGGCCCCATGCCAAACCCCAAAGCTGGAGAACTGGACCTTGCATAATTTTATCAATAAAATTAGAGCATTGATTGAGTTAATTAAATCAAGTCTTAAATTAATTTCAGGTTGCTGAATTAACTGGACACAGCACAGGTCTTGAAACTGGCTCTGTCTCCAGATGGAAGCACAGTGTTGTCTGCTGGTGCAGATGAAACCTTAAGATTGTGGAAATGTTTTTCTCCAGATCCTGCCAAGAAGAAGAAAGAGATAAGAGACTCTAAGGGTGCTCTGAGCTTGTATAAGGGAATTCGATGATGAAATTTGGTCACACAAATTATAATGTATCTATTGAGATCCTGATGTTGAGTGAACAAATAATTTTTTGTTATTGTGGAATGTTATACAGGACTGGTTGTGATATGTACATAGATTTTATTAGCCATATATTTTGCTTCAATGTTATTTATTTATTAAATGGCTTTAAATTATTACAACAGTATCTTTTTATTTATGGCATTCAGTTTTCACCCACCTGTTCACAGTGGTCACTTTTATGAATGTATTAATACAATTTTATTCATGGAAAATTGTATTAGTAATATTCATACTTTATATGGTGACGTTCACAAACTGTGATATCATTACATCTCTGTTAGGAAAAGCAGATACCACTTTCCTGGAGGACATGATCAGAGAAGTTTGTTATTCATTTTGGTAATTCAAATTGATTGTATATTCATTTGTTGTGCTATCACTGCACATGTTGTGAGTGAATATAAAATGAGAATTTAACTAACAGCAAAACATAATGTCTGTATAATGACGGCCATTATCTGAAGACAAGCGTAAAGCCAACTCCTGAAATGTGTATACCATATACATATCGACAGTGGACAATGTCTGACATAATATTGGTATCATGAATGAACCATTGTTATGAACTTGTAGTAGATCAGCCTGTGCCTTACTGGTTAATTACATATTGAGACTATACCTTCCATGTAGGATCTGAAGCTTTCACGGCGACTAAGCATAATAAATTCTTCTTGGGCTACCAGCAGTGTAAGGTTTTTTTCCTCCATTAAACCAACTTACAAGGCTGGTAGCCTGAGAACAATTCATTAAATTCATTTTTATGTACACTGACTGGTACATTTTTCTCCAAAGCTGTTCTGCAATTCTAGCAGAATAATGTAGAAAAATTATGGGAATCATTTTAGGCTGTAGCTCAGCTTTCCTTGTGTTCAAAAATTGTTATAATGTGGAAAGTTTGAGAATGCGATAGGAATGATGATGTACCTACTGAAAACACAATTTTTTTTTATATCTGTGCAGCTGGTTAGCACTGTTTAACAAAATAATTGTTGCTTATGTTGTGACTCATATGAAACTAATAAATACAAAATGAAGAATTACTGGCTGTTTAAAGCAGGTTGGCCATATAGTTAACAATAGGCTTTAAAGTGTTGTATTTATTTATTTATTTCAGGCAGCTATGACTCATCTTCAAGTAGAAGAGAGTATATATTTCAGATATGCAAGAACTGGAAGACAGAATTAAGGCATTGATCTCCCATGGAAAAGGTCTTGGTTTGAAGACTGGCTAAATGCAGCATGGAATTTTCTGCTTGTCTCTCTCATTCTTCACTTCTTGTAAAGTAAGAACTTTATAAGTATGAGGAATACCATCCCCCATTGTGGTATGCAGACCACATTAATCTACAGATCATTTGCTAGTCATAGTCTTCAGTCATCACCTGAAAAGTGGAGCCCTTCATTCTCTCTCTCCTGGTAGGCAAACGCAAGTAAATTCAAACAACAAAAATAATTTTAACTGGAAACAAAGCAAAACATGATGAGATTTCAGGTTCTCGTGGTGTCAAATATGAAGATGACATATCTTCTGGGATGTTATGTCATGTAGTCTGGTAGAAGTTTACTGACATTTCTGAGGTACTTGCTGCCTCCATCTTTGTCCTGATGATGGAGGCAACAAGCACCTCTAAAATGTCTGTAAACTTCTGAGATTATACACTGCAACATCCCAAAAGACCATCTTCAAAACAAAACAGGCATTAGCAAGGCTGAACTTAAATTCTCTCCATATACATGTCTCCTTGTTGAGATACTGTTGATCCCATTTTGGCCCTTATATCGCCTATTTGCACTGTGACTTTTATAAGTAAAGTTTACTTTTTGATTCTTATGTATTAAAATGTGTATATTAGTATCATATGCTGCATATTTAAGTTCTCTGCATCAACAACTTTATTCAACGTGTTTTTTTTTCATATACCTGCATTCTTCCTGGGCAATGACTTATATGCAGATATATTTATGTCATGTAGTTTTGTACCCCAATTTCATGAGGCAAAATTTTGTGGTGTGCCACTAGTGAAAGATAGTTGCAGAATACTGTCCTAAAGTATGGGCTAGTAGTTTTCTTTCATGAAACATTCTAGTTATGTAGTTAGAACCTATAGTGAAAATTGACTTCTGACAGCTAGTGGAAGGATGAAGAAACAGTTCTGCCACAAATTTTATGGGAAAAACATGTC